CTTCACTCACAGCCCCGGCTTCATCCAGAAGGATGTCTGGTCTAACTAGCATGTTACACTTTTATTATTATAGCAGGGGTCCTCAAACTTTTTAAACAGGGGGTCAGTTCACTGTCCCTCAGACTGTTGGAGGGCCGGACTATAGTTTAAAAAAAAACTATGAACAAATCCTATGCACAGGGTATGTCCTGGGGAGTGTTTTCAAGGTGGGATGGGAGCTACTGCAGGACCCAAAGAAGACAGGAGGTATTATGAGCATAAAGTGTTCAAAGGTGTTGAGTGTGTTTCCCTCCACGTCCCACGTGGTTCAGGGTTCAGGACCTGGAAGCGGAGCTGCACACAAATGAAAGAGCAGAGACAAGAGATAATTGGAAATATTGGGGGGCCAGGCAGGCAAGTCCAACTCAAGGGGAAGGACTTCCACCTGTGCTCAGGCCTCACCAAGCTTTTATTGATCTGGGATACCCCCATAGCATAGCCCTTAGGCAGGCGACCCCCCAGTAACAGGCAGACTAGCCCATCAGCAAGGATTTACATAATAATAAATGGGGGAGTAGTTTCAGCTACCACTGTCTGGACAAACAGAGGTGGCGCCTAGCTCCGACCTTTGCTAGGGCTTCAAAGGCACCCAGCCTTCGGGGGGTACTCTGTCTACGCTTATCAGATAGTGAAGGCAATAAACAGTTTCCCACAGGGAACAAATACAATATTTGTATTTGCATGTGGCCCGCGGGCCGTAGTTTGAGGACCCCTGTATTATAGACTAGAGGACCAGTGCACAAAATTTGTGCACTCGGGAAGGGGGGGTCCCTCAGCCCGGCCTGCGCCCTCTCCCAGTCCGGGAGCCCTTGGGGGATGTCCAACTGATGGCTTAGCAGGGAGCAGGCCTAAGCTGGCAGTTGGACACCCTTAGCGCTGCTGCAGAGGTGGGAGAGGCTCTGTGAGCCTGGCTTCTGGCTGAGCAGTGCACCCCCTTGTGGGAGTGCACTGACCACCAGGGGGCAGCTTCTGTGTTGAGCGTCTGCCCCCTAGTGGTCAGTGCACGTCATAGCAACTGGTTGTTCTGTGGTTCAGTTGATTTGCATATTAGCCTTTTATTATATAGGATTTGCATGGATCATCTTTCCTTTCACTCTCAACCTATCTTGACACAAAATGAGTCTCTTATAGAGGCATAGAATTGAATAATCTTTTAATCCATCCTTCTAATTTATTTCAGTTAGAGTTTAATCCATTGACATTTATTTTTTTATTATTAAATCTTTATTGTTCAGATTATTACATTTGTTCCTCTTTTTTCCCCCCATAACTCCCCTCCACCCAGTTCCCACCCCACCCTCCGCCCTCACTCCCCACCCACTGTCCTCATT